AATTTGTATATAACACACACACTACAGTTCAAAAGTTTGGGGTCAGTAATTTCTTTGAGAGAGAAAAAAAACTTTTATTTTGCAAAGATGCATTAAATTGATCACAATTTATGCTGTTACAAAAGATTTTTATTTAAAAAAAATACTGTTTCTTTTTAACTTTTCATTAATCAAATCTTATGTTTGCACAAAAATATTAAACAGCACAACCGTTTTCAACATTTATAATAATAAGAAATGTTTCCTGAGCAGCACATTAGCATATTAGAATGATTTCTGAAGGATCATGTGACACTGAAGACTGGAGCAATGATGCTGAAAATTCATTTTTGCCATTACAAGAGCAAATAACATGAAACATGTTTTTTACATTTTTTTATTACAATAATATATATAAACTTGTTCAAAACTTGTCTGAGATGTTCACATATGCTAGACACTTGCTGGATGCTTTACCTACACTAGCAAGTCCAACCTACACTCATCTATTTCCAAAAAAAAGATAATAAAGTTATAGATTTATATAGAAAATCATAGGTAGAGGGGATTTGCATTTGTTTACAAAGCTATTTTCAAGGATTAAAGAAAGGAAAAAATACTTTTGACTGGTAATGTATACATAATTAAAAAAATTCAAGGTAAAAAAGAGGTGTAAAATTAATAAAGATATGTATTGCTTTAACCAGGGTCACAAGTCTGAAAGCCTAATGTGGAACTGCAATCTTACCAGCACATGTAGTTTCCATGTAGGCCCAAACTTTGTCTTCTGTGATCCTAAATATTGTGTAAATGCCGCCCTCTAGTGGTTTAGAAGCAGAGCATACAATTAATTGTGAAGCGCTGAACTGTAAAGATGTCAGAGACAGAAGCTTATACTCACTCAAACTGCGTCCTCCCATGGATGTGTGTCATAGCTTCTCACGTCCTTTCCACATGAAATGGCACTTTCCATGATTAGGGTAAAAAAGGGACCTGAAACTTTAAAATAGTAAGCAATTTTTGTTATTTTCAACAAAGGGGTCAGTGTGTAAGAACATTTTGTAACTCACTTTTTACTCGCCCGTTACAAATTCTATATGAAGCATTTTACAACCATATATATCCAGCATTAATTTTCTTGCAATTAAATTATACAATTAATTCTAACAAATGCATAAATAAATGCACAAACGAATGAATAAATACATGAACAAATAATCAAGTTACAAATTAATTTACCATTAATAACTTTATACGGGCTTGCAAGCTTGGAACCAAATGTTGGTTTAGTTAATGATAACCTTTCCTATAAATAAAAAAACAACAAAAAAAAACTGTTTAATCTTACAGTAGGCTATCTTTAGAAAAAGAGTTGAATTGTTAAAAGGTCCATATGATGTTGCTAAAAAGAACATTATTTTGTGTATTTGGTGTAATGAAATGTGTTTATGCGGTTTAAGGTAAAAAAAAAACATTATTTTCCACATACTGTACATTATTGTTTCTCCTCTATGCCCCGCCTTTCTGAAACGCGTCGATTTTTACAAAGCTCATCGGTCTGAAAAGTGAGGTGTGCTGTGATTGGCCAGCTATCCAGTGTGTTGTGATTGTCCGAATACCTCAAGTGTGTGACGGAAATGTTACGCCCATTACCATACTGTGATGCCCTGTCCGGCCGGAGCGACGAGGAGACAAACACATTAAAACCCATTATAAACGAGGCATTGGTGCATCAAGTGGGGACACAATTACGGATTATAATGACTTATACTGTCTTTTTACTTGTTGCATCGCGCCGCGTAAACATAAAACCATCTGCATTTGTGATTGGAGAAATGAGAAACAACAAGCGCTACTCTACACTGCTCAAAACTGCGTTTGAATCTTCAGTGGAAAATTCTTTAAATATAAAAAACATACTTACAGTCTGCGAGTCAGAACAGCCGGCATTGTAGTCTACTCTCCCAGGATCAGGAAACAGTCCTCCATAAAATGCGCTGGACACATCTGAATATTTAGGTTGAACTGTTCTGGAACAGTGTTGTAAATACAACTTAACCACTGATTTCTAGTTGTGTCCTCTTTTGGAAGGCCAAACAAAGTAACCTAAAGGCGGGGCATAGAGGAGAAACAATAATGTACAGTATTTGGAAAATAATGTTTTTTTAACCTTAAAACACAAAAACATTTAATTACACGAAATACACAAAATAATGTCATTATAATAAATCATATGACGTTGCATTATATATAAAAAAACTTACAGTCTGTGAGTCAAGAACAGCCGGCATTGTAGTCTGACTAGAAATCAGTGGTTAAGTTGTATTTACAACACTGTTCCAGAACAGTTCAACCCAAATATTCAGATGTGTGCAG